GATACTGAGGACAGTTGGAGCAAAGAGAAGGCAATGGGTATGAGGAACTTTCAGAGGTAACATTAATAGAACTCAGTCCTTGACTGAATATGAGCATTAGATTATGAGTGCAGAGTGACTCTTAGACTCTTAATTTAAAACAACAACAACAACATGCACATGGTTAGTGGGAGTTGTGGGTACTGGTTCCATATGGGACATGTAGACATTATTGTATCTACAAAATCCACCCAACTGGATACATAACCCATCACACAAAAGAAAGAGATACGGAATTTACCATAATGTAGGAAGTAGTTAAGACCGTGGTTATGAGTAGAATTGGGTAAAGATAGAAGGCAGAGCAAAGAGATGGTCATGAATGGAGGCTTTGGCAACAGCATTTTGAGAAATCATACCTCTTACTGTTTTAGTGCCATTGCTAATCTTTCCCATAACTGTAAGCTCTGTAAAGGACAGAGACTTGGCCTGTCTTTTTTGTCCCCAATATCTAGCGTAGTGCCTGGCATATGGTAAGGGCTGGCTACATATTTTTGAATGATCGTTGGGTTCAATTTGGCTAATGGGCAAGGGAGGGGTGATCTGATTTAGGGACTGGAGTTATTCACAGATCAGTTCAATCCCAACGATTCTCCCACCTCTGCCTCTTCTAGGGCTTCCCCTCTGAACTTCCCCACTGAAGTTCCTTTTCACGAAAGACTGTTACTGAGAAGTTATAACATATCTTCTTTGCTTCTATTTCTCAGTTTTTGAATCTGCCATCAGAATGACTTATTGAATGATGTAGTTTTTAATTCCTGTCTTTCAGATTTTGTTTTAGGTCTATCCTTTAAGAAATGAATATTTTTAATCATGCTGCTTTATTCAGTTTTTTTTCTATACAGAAAGATTGTCTCATGTTTTTTCTTGTAAAACCAGACATCCATTCAAAATTTGGATAGTAATCATCACCAGCCTGGTAGGATACACGCTTGTAAACATGGATAGATAATGTACTAAAAATCTTCAAGTACTTGAATCTTAAGTACTGTGTATCTTAAAGCAGTGGTCTCCAAACCAGGGCTGCTTACCCCAAGACTTCCCAAGAGGCACATGGGCACATAAAGGGAAGCGATTTCCAGAACATCAGTTTTTATGTGGCCTCTTTCCTGAACTTCATCTGCCTAAGAAGGTGTCTGTGGTGGAGGCTGTTGGTTCTACTTTTTCATCTCCTTGACCTGTTCTCATAAACTTTAGAATGCATCAGAATCACCTGGTGTGTTTGTGAAATCCTAGGTTGCTCTCCTCCCATTACCAAAATTTCTAATTCAGTAGGGTAGGGCCCGAGGATTTGCATTTCTTACAAGTTTCTAGGTGGTACTAAAGGTCTTGTTTCAAGGACAAACTTTGAGAATCAAAGACTTCAGACAATTAGCCTTTTCCCACTTTATAGAAGATAACCACCACATCAACACAATTCTAACTCATCTGGAGTCTTAGGATGCATTTCCACAGAATGTAAAAACTATGAGCAAACAGAAAGTCAAATAGAAATAAATTATTTTGATGATAGTGTACAAATCAAATCATATTTAAGTTGGGTGCTTTCAAAAAAATAATAATAAATAAACAAGAGGGGCACCTGGGTGGCTCAGTTGGTTGAGCATCCGACTTTGACCCAGATCATGATCTCATGGTCCATGGGATTGAGCCCTGAGTCAGGCTCTGTGCTGGCAGCTCAGAGCCTGGAGCCTGATCCAGATTCTGTGTTTCCCACTCTCTCTAACCTCCCTCACTCAAGCTCTGTCTCTTTCTCAAAAATAAATAAACATCAAAAAAAAGAAAAGAAAAGGAAAGGAAAAGAAAGACTTCACTGAGATGTCAGCTGAAGGGCAATGAGCAATTGAAAATAAATTCTACAGACCAGTATGGGATTTTTGGCATATAATTCAGAAAGAGGTAAAAAAAAAAAAAAATACTGAGTAGCATTGCATAATAAAATTATGATTTCTATCATTTCCTTGTAGATGAACAAGTTTCTCAGTGTTTAAATCTATAAAAAAGAAAATAGGAATAGAATTGATGCTAAGCCATGCCACATTCCAGTTTTTAATATTTACTCACAGAAATGTGAATTGGGAAAAACAGCTTTAATCATATCATTGAGATATATTTCTAATCAAATTTTACAATTTGTACAATTATCTTTTAAGTTTTGTAAGAGTATAATATTGTTCTGATCAATTGTATATAAGAAAATTATAATGATAATACAGGAGAAAATTTTAAACTTTTATACCTTTATGTTCACAAGAAAAATTAATTGTTGTATTTTAAATATAAATTTTGATGTATATATGTTTGATAGCTAAGTCAGTAGAAGATTTCCAAGCACATAAATATATATTTGGATGAAATTCCATGGAGGAAACTAAATTAAGAAAACAAGTCCAAAAACAAGAAAAGAAAAATATGAAATGCCTGACTGTTGAAAGCATTCTTCAAGCAGTTTTAAATGGATATTTGTAGGTATGAAACCACTATGGTATTAAGATTCCACTGAATATCTTTAAAAGAGTAATGTTACTTGTTTATTGTAGAATGGCAATATTTAAAATATGCCAAATATAACATCCTTTACAACTATTTGACTTTATGATGAAAAATGTTTTTGTTGACAACTTAAAATATGATGGGCATGTAAGTTTTAAAATTTTATTTAAGAGTGAACACTATCAAAAACATTTGACGTCCTATTTTAAGGCAGTAAACTTTACTCTTCAACAGGGATCATTTGATAGGCTCAGACAGGACTCTGAATTAAATTTTAACTAAAACTCAAGCTTGGCTTATTCTGTGAACACCTCAACAAAAACCGTTTTTGTTCTTGTTTGGCATTTGTGCTTTCTTGTCCAGCTGGGATCCAAACATACAGAAATGAGTAATAATGGGAAAAAGATTATACAATCTTGAATGACTCACTCAAAAACCTTTATAAACTTTCTATTTAGACTGTTCAAAAAATTTTTTAATGTTTATTTATTTTTGAGAGAGAGAGAGAGACAGAGAGAGGGAGAGAACGAGCAAGGGAGGGACAGAGAGAGGGAGACACAGAGTCTGAAGCAGGCTCTAGGCTCTGAGCTGTCAGCACAGAACCTGACGTGGGGCTTGAACCAATGAGATTCTCATAACCATGAGATTATGACCTGAGCTGAAGTTGAAAGCCCAACCAACTGAGCCACCCATGCATCCCTAGACTTGTTTTAGAACAGAATCGTTTTGGCGAATTCTGGTTTGTTTACCAAAAGGAAATTGCAGCACACAAAAAAAAAAAAAAAAAAAAAAAGGACGCCCAAATATCAGTACAAAACATTGCTGTGGGCATGTTTCTTAAAAGCTGATTTTGCTGCATTTATATTAGGAAATAAAAAGAAACACATTAAAAAACATTGACATCATTGAGTCTTTAGCTACTTGATAATGACGTCTTTGCTTTTTTCTAAAATATATGCTCTCTTGTAGATTGTTTTCTTGGGAGATATTCATGCTTAGGTTATGCATAAAATCTACTCTGAACCTATTACATTTTTTTTCTATTTCCAAACTCCATAATTTTATTTTACATGATATATGACTTCTGGACAATTAGCTCAAGGCTAACCCAGTTCTTATTTCCTGTACTGTAGTGAAAATTCACTTAAGATCAGCAAAGGTCTACTTTGTACCACACCAAAATGATATATCCCCTCCTTATACAATCTCTCACTTCTCCATTTCAGCGACTCTGGACGACTACCTCTTCTTAATAGCCCCCAGTGGTAGGGGCACATTCTTCCTCCTGATATGTAACCTAGCCTTTAGAAACAGAAAACCACCTCTAGCCGACTTTGACTGGTACAAATATTGTTAAACTTCTGTACCAGTATTCTGGGTTATTAAACATCCCATGGACTCCATTATTTGCACCTAGATCAATACAAATATACTTGATGGGCTTATAAACATCTAATAAGAGTGTACATGCATAAGTAATGCAAATTCATATCTACTCCCCTAGGTAATTTCTGTTTAAAGTTCTGGTTGCAAGATATGACACCGGATTGTGCTTTATAAGGACAAGCTCAGCAAGGCAAAGAAGAGATTCTATTCATGTCCAAATTCCCATGTATTTTCGACATTCCAAGAAAGAGACCTCAAAACAATTTTCAACTCACCTTTGTCCTTTCTGATATCTTCGATACAACTGCAGAACATATTGTGGATTTTTTTCTTCCAAATTATCCATAAATATATCAAATAGAATGGGCTGTAATATAATCCCCATGGGATGTACCCAGTATAAAAAACGTTATGTGGGCAGTCCTGTCTAGCTCACTCACTGCTAAAACTCCAGGGCCCAGGACAGTGCCTGACACATAGAAAGTACTTGATAGTGAATGAATGAAAAATGAAGAAATGGATGGATGTCTGGGTGGATAGAAACTTGATGCTTTTGAAATCTTCTGATCACATCTTAGATAGGATCTTCTAGCCAGTAATTTAACCTCCTAAACATATAACAATTGGAACATAATATTTTACATTTTTATTGAGAATATCATGCAGGCTCTGGAGATGACCTGCATTCGCTACAAACTAATTATGGGCCTTTGGACAAAGGACTTGAGTTTTCTATGCCCGACCCTCTCATTCAACAGACAGGAACAATGCTGCTCTCACAGGCTTGCTGGGAGATGATGCACTTGGCCTGGTTCATAGGAAGCATTCTGTAAACAGGAGATATCACCTTTCCTATTGCATGCATCTTTCATATTTGAGATTAATGCCTAACTATGTAGATGTAAACATGATCAGAATTACTATCTCAATTTTCACAGGTATATATATAATCACTTCTCTGCTACCCACAAAATCAGTTCATCCAAGCCAGCAGCTTGAACTTTGTGATGGAACTAGGGTGTAAAAATGTTGGTTCACCTCACCATTTAAGGTTGTAAATAACCAGACCAGTCACGATATAGTAAGAGAAGGATTTTAGGTTTCTTTGGCGAAACAAAAGCAGGTATAAAAAGTTACAAAGATTTTAGGTTTTCATTCACACACACACAAAAAAAAAACCCAATAACAGCCATTCACATTTTACACTATACATGTTATAATATAAATACAGGAACGTATTGTGTGCATTGAAATAAAAGAGAAAAATTAAAACCTAACAGGTCAACACAGTGTCGTTCTGTGCTCCGGAACCCCTAAAGGTGGATTACACTTAGTGATGCAACCAAGGAACCTTATTTAAAGACACGGAGGATGATGGCAGCTACTGGTGTTCCTTCCAAGCCAAAGGAGGGTTTGCGAAAAAAAATCCATGTTGGGTCTGCTCGGTTTGCATTTTACTTGTTGTCTACTCTTCCCAAGGCGGATTTAACTGAAATCAGGGAATGGCTCTTAAATATCTTCTTTCCACTACAGGCTTTTCTTTAGACATTAAATTAAGTGGATAATGATTCAAATTCATCTTCAGCAGTCACTTTATTCAAATAAAGGGCAGAAAACACAGTGGGAAGAAGCAGGGAGAAATGTCAACAGGTATGCTCCACCTAACAAGAAGAAATGCCCACGCTCTCTCTGTAGCTCCTTGCTTAGAAGGGGCAAACTCCATTGGCCGTAAGCTATACATTTTTCACTCTTTTCAATAACAAACACTGGATGCATTCTACTCATCACATTATTTAATCAGGGACAAAATACCTAGATTATATGGCCCCAAACTGTGTGAGGGAAGCATAAAGGTTAACACTGAAAAATAACTAGCACACTAAGGTCAATTTTCAGGTTTGGGGGAAAATAACGTCCAAATAAATTAAATCAGTATGGCTTACTTCATTTATTTATGTATGCTTCACAGCTGCAGCATTCATACATGAACATTCAAAACTTTATAAAAGATTAAAATGGTTATATATACAAAATTTCTTTCTTTGAACGTGTGTTGTTGTTTTAACAATCCCCCCTCCCCCCCGAACCCTTAGGTCTGTATCCATTTGAAATGAGTTGATCCGTAACCTTGCAAGTTAGTGTTATGAAAGCCATTAAAAAGGAGACCTGGTTGAGTTAATAATTAGCACTTTGACCCCTAAAAAATGCGCCTGGTCCTAGAAAAGTCCTCCATTCAGGCCTTTCTTGTAAGTGAAGAAAAAGGAATGCAGCAAAGAGGAGTTCCACGGGGCAGTCCCTAGTTCCGTCGGGATCCTGTTAGCTGGGCCTTGGCATCACACAGAAGCAAACTGCACTCCGGGGTGACATGGTGCAGTGACCTATAAGACCTTGTGTTTGATCGCTGTCTAGGAAAAGCCGTCCTCAGTCTTGCTGACAAAGAGCAAATGAAACCATTTCCAGCCTAAACAAACTACAAAAAGCAGCCAAACCAATGATTAAAGACCTCTGAGGCTCCATAATCATCATTAAATATGCCCAAACTCAGTGTGACTTTTTTATTTTATATACAGGATTAAAATCAACATTAAATCATCTTATTTACATTGCCATTGGTGCTGAAATTGAGCTTTTTAAATAGTATGGTATGCTGGTATACATTATAAAATGGTCTGCACTGGAGGCAGAGAGAAAACTAAAGAAATTAGATAGGCTGGAAACGGTTACTTTCTGCCCTCACTTTCTTTCATGTTGTTAGCTTTCTTTTTGAATGCCAATACTTTCATTTAAAATGTTTTGGGAGCGCAGCAACCCCAACCGACTGGACAGTGGTCCAAAAATCCAAACCAACTGATAATACTTCTCGAGGTGATAGGAAAGGCACAGGAAGTTAGGACTTTGGCTGAAAAGATGAAAACACATGTTCGCCATTTTAGGGATCAGCGCCTGGACTCCTGCCACCTCCGGCTCCAACGGTGATCATGTTTTGATGTATTTACTGAATTGTCCTTTGCTGATGAGGAATTTTTAAAGTATTTCTTAGAGTAAGTCCTTTGGTATGCAGATGCTACATGGAAGGAAAGAAAGAAAGAAAGAAAACACAACAATATTACTTGCTCCATACCCTAAACTATCAATACCATAGCCGTAAAATGAGGGTGTCTAGTGGTTGTTATAGCACGGTTGTCCATTCTTTCTAAAGGACCACTTACGGTTCATGCAGGTAATTTTAGGCATAGCCCATCTTCCGTTTCCTAGGCAACGGATAGTTGGAAGGTGGCGCTGAATGAAACCATCTTTGCAGTGATATCTAATCAGGGAGTTGATTTCATAACGAGGTTTCATCTTTCCAAAGGTCTTGGCATTTTCTACAACAGGGGGCTGGCCGCAAGCAACTGAAGAAAAGTAAATTGGGTTATTGTCACATAATCTAAATATTTCTATTAGTATGAATCTTTTTTTTTTTTCTCTTTCCTTATTTACGGTACCCAATCAAGCACTTTCAGCAAAGGCAGTTATTTAGAATTGAAGAACTGAAGTTTTTCAAGAGAAAAGCTAAATACTGGGGTTCTGGGCCTAGTCTGAATCCCAGAATATATCATCTTCAATTGTGTTTTAGTAGAGAACCACTAGACCAAATGTTTATATTCATCTGTCCATCTGGAAGGGCTACTTCACTGAAAAATTCCAAATTAGAAAGCACCTGTCTCATGCCAACATGTGGCTTGGTGGCATTGTCGCTCTCAATCAGCATCTTCAAGTTTTTATTTATTATCCACCTTCGGTTGTAAAACTAATGGGTTTGTGAGGTTAAGGTTAAAAACTTTCAATTCTATAATTCATTTAACAATTGATTCTGTGGTATGTTGACAAGTTAAAAGTTGTCATTGTCAATGTACAGATTTCTTCCAAAGCTATTTATGGGTGAGGAGGACTTATAATACAGCTAAAATAATTCAATGAGTATGATACTGGGAAGGACAGGCACATAGACCGGAAATAGATCCACACATATATGCTTGATACATGACAGAAGCAACATGGCAGAGCAGTGGAGAAAAGGTAGTTTCTTCATTTGGACATTGGGTATTCACATGGATAAAAATGAACTCGGTTCCCGACCTCAGGAAATACTTGGGAAATCAATTCTAGGTGGTTTAAATATAAAAATATAAAAGGCAACAACTTTAAAACATTTAGAAAACAGCATAGAATATCTTTCTGACTTTAGGGTAGGTAAGATTTCTTAAGACACAGAAAGTTTTGAACCATAAAAAAAAAATGCAACAAAATGAAGAATTCTTTTGAACAATAAATATCACAAGGTAAGAGTAAAAACAGTCTACAAACTGGGAGAAGATATTTGCAACATATTAAATTGTCAAGGGATTACTAAACAAGATATAAAAAGGACTCCTATAAATCAATTTTTAAAAATAAGGAACAGACATGAATAGAATCTTTACAAAAGAGCTATTAATGAATACCATATAAATATATGAAATTATATTCAGGGCAAAGTATCCATGTAAATACAAATTCAATCACAAGAGATAACATTTTATACCCACCAGATTGGCAAAAATCTCAAAGTCCAATAATATCAAATGTTAAAGAAGATATGGGGTAACAGGACCTCTCACGTATTCCTGGTGAAAGTGTAAATTGGTACAACTAGTTTGGAAAATAATTTGAATTTTGCAGTAAATCTGATGACTCATAAATCCTATGACTCAGCAATGTGACTCCTGGAAAAATACCCTCTGGAAACTCACAGAGGCCTAACCTGGAACAAATTCAAGAATGTTTATAGACATGTTGTCTATAATAGCAAAAACACTCAATATAACCCAAATGTCTACTGACATGAGAACTGGTAAATAAAATGTTGTATAGTTAGTTATACATAAAATACTATAAGCAGCAACATGAAGAAATACAACTAAAGGTATCAACATGGATAAATCTCACAAACAATGCTGAACAAAAAAAAGCGAGTCAGTATGATTCATACAGTAAAAAAATCATACAGTATGATTCCACTTGAAGTTCAAAAATGTGCAAAACTAAACAATTTGTCATTTACAAATACAAGCACATGTGCTAATACTAAAGAGAAAAGTAAGAGAATGAAGTCACTTCTATGGTTGGTATTGGGAAGCCAACAGATGGGATTGTAAGGAGTCTGCAGAAGGCTTCAAAGATGCATGGATAGTATGCACTGAGGGGTTCTCTAAAAAAACAAAAACAAAAACAAAAACAAAAAACAAAAAAAATACAAAAACAAAAACAAAAAAGACTCATCTTTGAGAGTGATGTTTCCAAGAACAACTAGCATCTATTTAAGGACAAGACACTACTGAGAGAGTCCTTGAACATGGAGGGGAAGCTAAAGCACTTCCCTGCAGCACAGAGACTAAGACAGACTCCATAAGTAGGATAAGACAATGGCTAACCACTGACCACTCTGCTCCTCTACCAGGACTGCAGTGTCATGAAAAGAGGTCTTCTCTGAGCCTCAGGTTCTTCTAGTTGGAAAAAAAATACCAGGAAGAAAACCAGCCTCCCCTAGCATTGTGGGATGCTTTGTGGGAGCCCTACTCTGCTCTTGTACCACAGGTATTACAGGGGAATCTTTGGGGCTCAGCCACAAGAATCTGACTGTGACTCTGAGGAGGGCCAGGGGCCTGCGACAACCAGCACATGAATCTCCACAGGCAAATTCATACCTTCAGTGTCTAAGTAGTAATCCCAGCTGGCAACTTTGCTTATGTGCAGAGCTACGTCAGAAGTCCACTCTGACCAGGGAACCTGGCAAGGTACGTATCTGACTGATTCAGATCCTCACATGAAGAGATTTGCCAGTCCTTCAACCTGGTTTGCTCACACCCAGGCAAGGTGCTGAGTCACAGCCCCACTCGCTACAGAGAGTGTCTTCCAGCCCCTCAGACCCGAAAAAGCAGTGACAACTCCAAATAACCCAATTAAAAAATGGGCAAAGGGCCTGAATAGACTTTTCTCCAATGAAGATATACAAAAGGCCAAGAGGTACATGAAAAAGATATTCAATATCAGTAGTCATTAGGGAAATGCAAATTAAAATCACAATGATGTATCACTCATACCTGTTGGAAAGGCCATCATTAAAAAAAGGTAAGAGATAATACATACTAGTGAGGATGTGGAGAAAACGGAACCATTGTAGGATTGTGAATTGGTACAGCTACTAGAAAAGTAGTGGGGAAGCTTGAGGGATCCTCAAAAAATTAATATAGAACTGCCACATATCCAGTAATTCTGCTTCTGGGAATATATCCAAAGGTAACAAAAACACTAATTCAAAAAGATATCTGCACCCCCCCCCCCCCGTTCATTGCAGTATTATTTACAATGGCCAAGACATGGAAACAACCGAGTGTCCATCAATGAATGAATAGATAAAGAAGTTGTGGTATATATACATACATCTAATGGAATAATATTCCATTTTTCAGCCATAAAAACGAGAAAATCCCACAATTTGAGACAAAAAAGCAACGGAGGAGGATGGGGGTAGAGGAAAATGTTCCAGGCATTCATTGCATGGAGGCCAGGAATGCTGCAATGCACAGGACAGCCCCCACAGTGATGCATTATCTGGTCCAAAATATTAACAGTGCTGCTGTTGAAAAATCCCGCTTTAGGAAAAAAATAATACGGGACATAGAAGATTGCTAGGATCACAAGGGGAAAGGCATGAATGACTCCAGGGAACATTTGGAGACTTAAGAAGGCAAACATGACATTCAGAGAAAGACAAACAGTTCATTAAAGACTTCTTACACTAGAAACAGGGAAAAGAGCAAATACCTGATTTGCTATTTTCACGAGTCCCATGGCAGAAGTGCTGGAGTAATGCACAGAGCCAGGGGAGCTGCTCAGACAGGAAGGAGGGTCAGAGTAAATTCTATGTTAGCTAAGACAAGAGCAGAGAGAGTGACATGGCTGACAGCTGAGTTTCATCTGAGCTCTGTGGATCTCAGTGTTTTCTTTCTTCTGATAGAATTTCTTAGTATTGGGGTTTAAGTAATTCCTAAAATATCTGCAGAGTGTGTATTTTTAGTTTATTACTTTCCTATCCAAGACAAACAAATCCAGTGGATTTTATATTTTGCATTTGTACTCTTACTTGATGAAAAATTCTGGGTCTAGAGGCTAAATTTTCATGTTCTAACACCATTATCAATTGTTAAAGGTTAAAAATTTTTTATGGAATTCCTGTTTTTTTAAAGGAGGAAATCTATACATGTGTCTTGGACATTTGAACATATTGGTCATAATGAACACTTTCTAAAATCAGTGTTCTTAATGGTATCTGTTTAATGTTAGCTAAGCAATTCTCATTATGGAGCTTACATCACAAATGTTTTTATTTTAGCATATGATCAGGGTATTCAACAATAGAGTAATGCTGTTTTTGTTCTATTGGTTATAAACACAGAATAAGCTCCTACAGAAGTGATTACAAACTTCAAATGCCTACAAAACGAGGGAAGGTCCCCAGTGAGGGAGGGCAGTGGTTTTCAGTTCCAGAACTTCAAACTACTAATAAGTTCTAACATGGACCAAATGGTACCAGTTCTTATTTTTCTACCAAAGTAAAATCTCCAGATTATTTCATGATCTAACCTGATTTTTAGATGTTGACAACTAGTTATTTATTTTTTTAAGGCTCTTGTCAAAATACACAGGTGGATACCCTTGGGCTGGCACTTTGTTTTTCTTAAAGTACTGCCAGGTAGTTGGTTTTGTTTTGTTTTGTTTTTTTCAATATAAATACGACATCGCTATCTTAAGCATCTGAAATCTAAGGTAAAGACATTACTGAAAATGAAATTTTCAAACGTACTGGAGGAGTGAAATATTCCAGAGGCAGCGAGAGATGCCATATATGACATCCAGTTTGTGTCCTGAGGTTTATTCTTCTTGAATTCGCCTGCTAATTGAAATGCAGATTATACATTATTAATTAATCATTACCTGTTCCTTTCTTGCAGGTATAGGTGAGATGATAATTGCAGGGAACATCATTCCACTGGCCATTCTCATGCCAAATGATTACAACACAATCTTCTCCAGCAGAAAAGAAGCTGTCTGGCTGATTGGGCCTCCAGTTCTCATATTGCTATAAAAATGGAGGAAGAACAGAATTAACTACTTGATAGTCGAAAAGTAGCAAACAGTAAGAGCGACAGAGCCATTACACTGCAATGGAATTAGAATGACTCAACAATTTTTTATTGAACTATCTAACTGAAATTATTTTGATGGTAAAGAAAAAGACTTTTGCATTCTTGAGTGGAAAATACACGTTTCTCCTCAGCAAATATGTATTTTTTTCCCCTTTGGCAATGAGATACATCTGAGGAATTTTCTTCTAGTTATCCTACATTTCTAAATATATAATCAATGCTTGATATAAGAAATTGGATCATGTTTCTATTATTGAATGTAACAATATTAAGGGAAGGAAATAGAGAAAAGAATCCATAATCTTGTCACTCCATCATGTTTTCTCCCAGCCCTTAAGGGCATATGTAATTTTATGATAGTTATAATGACAGTGTAATAAAATTTGTATTCCTTCTTTTACATATTTACCACTATAAAGCACCTTTTCTTGCCTTATTTAATGTGATATTTTTAGCCTAAATTCATTTATTTGGTTAAAAAAATTGAGACATTTGGTATATATATTTTTTATACTTACACAATATACATGTATCCATCATTTCATATTCAACCTTCCTGAGTAATTTTGTTTTATTTTTTTATTAAAATCTTTACTTATTTATTTCTTTTTATTTACTTTGAAAGAGAGAGAGAGAGAGGCAGAGATAGAATCCCAAGCAGTCTCCACACTAACAGCGAGGAGTCCAACGCAGGCCTCAATCCTACAAACCACTAGATTATGACTTGAGCTGAAATGAAGAGTCAGAAGCTTAACCCATAGAGCTACCTACATGCCCCCCGAATAATTCTGCTTTAGATGTGATTCTTATGCATACCTCACAGTTAAGTTTTACTTTACAATATAAATCTGGATGTTGTTTTCTCTCAATAGAAACAGTGACCACATTTACGCATATTGGTACAAAGGATAAGCTGTTAAAAATAAATCTTACTAGGGGCACCGGGGTGGCTCAGTCAGTTAAGCGTCCATGGATGTGAGCTCTGCACTGGCCTCTACCTCACATTCAGTGTCTCTCCCTGCCTCTTCCCCTCGTGTGCTCTCTCTTACTCTTAAAAATAAGTAAATAAACTTAAAAAATACTAAAAAGAAATTTTATATATATATATGTACATATATAATCTTACTATAAAAATGTTTGCTTTTCTTTGATGTTTTTCTATTGGTTATCTTTTTTTATTTAAAAGCATTTTTAAATGTTTATTTTTTTAAGAGACAGAGAGACACAGAGCACGAGTAGGAGAGGGACAGAGAGAGAGAGAGAGAGAGAGAGAGAGAGAGAGAGAATCTGATGCAGGCTCCAGGCTCTGAGCTGTCAGCCCAGAGCCCAACACGAGGCTACAACTCAAGAACCATGAGATCTTTGACCTAAGCTAAAGTCAGATGCTTAACCTACTGAGCCACTCAGGCACCCCTCTATTGGTTATCTTTATAACTGTATCTTTAGATGGTATCTAAAGATTCCACAGTCTGAGCAATGAACCAGAACCAGAAATATCTTTGGCTTTCCATCAGAGTAATACTGACAGGTGTATTCAGCACCCATATTGGATGAAGCCCTCTCCTAGGTACTTGCTATGCATTACCTCTTATAAGAATACAGTAAGAATAGGAGAAACGTGGACCTCTGAGATGTTAAGCACTCAGGGCTCTTCGGTTTACATTTAATTTCTTGTGACCTTAAAATTTCTTGTCTCCATAACCAATAATGGTATGAAAAACACAGTCCCTATGCCTGTTCAAAAATTATAAACTTTGGACTATAAATAAGAGCAATTTCCTAGCCTTGGGTCTCCTGGTAACTAGAATGTGATATGGGACAAGTTTGTTCAGTGTCAACTTTAGAATCATTTTTTTTAAAAAAAATTGTAAATGTTTTATTTATTTCTGAGGGGGAGAGAGAGAGAGAGAGAGAGAGAGAGAGACAATGTGAGCAGGAGAGGGTCAGAGAGAGAGGGAGACACAGATTCTGAAACAGGCTTCAGGCTCTGAGCTGTCAGCACAGAGCCCAACGTGGGGTCAAACCCACGAACTGTGAGATCATGACTTGAGCTGAAGTCGGCGCTTAACCGACTGAGCCACCCAGGTGCCCCATAGACTCACTTTTTCAATATGCTTTGCCTGCCTTCATGTTGTCTATCATATCTAACGCTGCCAAGTCTGGTAGAGCCAAACTTCCTTCACTTGGGAAAAGGACAGATTCAGATTTATGTGCAATGGCTGATATGACTATCTTTCCTGGTCCTACAGATCTATGTCTTTCCTTGAATTAAATTTAAAATAAGTCTGTGGCTTGAAACAATGAATTAAGGCATTTTACCGGGAAAGATAGAGAACAAAGAGTTCTATGTCAGAGTAAAGCAGTAGTTTCCAACTCAGAGCATGACAAAACAACGACGACGACAATGAAAGAATAGCACCGTGGCGATATCTTTTAAAATATATAATAAGTTTAGTAGACAATGTCTAATTTTTCTTCTCAGGAAAACAAATGGCTTTTAAAACTTTCAAGTACGGTAAAAACCTTGATCTTTGATAAAATCATTTATGAGGAGATCTAAAGTTTGCAAGCCTCCAGATCAAGAGACCTACTTTTCCTTCAGTCTCTTTTCCTAGCTTTGCTTTAAAAGCCTCCTCAATCATGCCAAAAGTGAAGATAGGAGATTAGGAGATCCCTGCCATGTAAAAGAGTCTTTGAAAAGTAATAAAATTGCAAAGAACCCAGGGAAACTTAATAAAGGTGTGGTTTGTGTTTGTTTGTTTGTTTGTTTTTGCCAAAACACAGAATGAAGGGTGCTTTTTTTTTCTGATGGAGACCCAGAAATTATACGGATTGAAATCCAACTCTAGTTGCCTCAACAGTACCACTGAGTTACTGCCTGGATGGCCTTGGGAAGGACCCTTTGACTGGCAGGTCTCCCTCCAACCAGGAACTGACATTTGCTCTAAAAGCGGTTGCTATTTCTCTCTTTTCCTTTTCTCTGCTTATTTCCCTTCCCTTATCATCCGTCACCATCCACCCATGAAGCCTTTGGTTGTTTTTGTTTTTGTTACTCTTCTTAAATAGATAATAAACAAGGAGACAGGAAACAGAACGACAAAGTAGATATAAAAGTCACGTTTAGCCTGTTGCTGATGTGTAACTAACTTGTCTTTAACAGATCTATTAAAGTAGGATCAAAATAAAAATTATTAAATTAAATTAAATTAATATACAAAGGAATAGGAATTCCTTGAAATGAACATGGATCTGTATTGGATACTTTCTATAGCCAAAGTTCGAGAGTTCCTCAAATACTTATGGATTTTGGAGCTCAATCATTTCTAGGTTACTTTCTTTTACTTTTAAAAAATGTTTATTTTTGAGGAAAAGGGAGAGAGTGTGTGTGAGCTGGAGCAGGGGCAGACAGAGAGGGAGACACATAATCTGAAGCAGGCTTGAGGCTCTGAGCTGTCTGCACAGAGCCCAACACAGGGCTCCAACTCACGGACCGTGAGATCATGACCGAAGTTGGACACTTAACCAACTGAGTCACCCAGGCACCCCACTAGGTTACTTTCTAGCTAACACCTTGCAGGAAACATGTAAAAGTCCTCAAAGGTGGAAAACTTTCCCACACATCAATCAGATATGCAAACTGTGTAATGTCCTCCACGTCCTTGTCCCTAGTCACACTCCCAGGTCTTCATAACAACAATCAAATTCTCATGTCCTATATAATTTATTTATTGTATTTTTTTCCTCCTTAATAGAATATAAACTCACCGAAGACAGGAACTTGGGGTTCTTTTGTTTACTACTGTACCCTCAGTGCCAGGAATTATGTCTGGCACACACTGACATTCTAAATAATTTGATATTTAGAAATAATGATCAACAGAGTGTGTTGCATTCTATGCTATCCACATCTATTTCTAAATGTTTCATTCTTTTTGAAAGAAAGAGACAGTGGCAGGAGCAGAGAGATAGAGGGACAGAGGATCCAAAGCAGGCTCCAGGCTAACAGCAGCAAGCCCCATGTGGGGCTCGAATTCAGGAGCCATGAGTTCATGACCCTGAGCCAAAGTCAGATGCTCAACTGACTGAGCTACCCAGGTACCGCCACATCAACTTCTAATCAAAGATGTTGTTTGCTGCTAACAAAAGCTAGGCGAGACAGGCAATAAACATTCTGGATAACAGTTGGTGATATATATCAAGAACCTCAAAAAGTTCTTACACTTAGATCCTGTAATTCTTCTAAAATTTTATCTTAAAACAATAATCAGGTGTTATATGGAAACCAACTTGACAATAAACTCTTAAAAATAATAATCAGAGATGTGAACAATAGTTTATCTAAAATATTAATTAAACTAGCAGTATATGGGCAAAAATCTATAGAATGAATATATATGTATATATTCAATAAATTATGCTATGGGTATGGCCATACAAGTGATACATTATGTAAGCATTAAATATCTTGTCTGTGAAGAATATACAGGGAGATGGAAAATACTAAAAGAAGTGTTAAGTTAAAACTAAAAAGTAAAATATAAGAAATATGCAATTATCCAAATTTTACACATACTCTCAGATACAGTGGTGTGTGTGCACATGTATGTGTGAAAGGCCAAAAGGAAATGCTATAAATGTTATAAAGTTTATATCTAAGTTATATGAGGCAGAGGTAATATTCTATTCTATATATTCTTAGATATTTTCCACTTCCCTAGAGATAAATTTTTTTCTAATTTTTTAATCAGTAAAAATGAACATCATAAGATGATCTATGCAGCTATCAGAAAGAACTTCTAAATTTCTTTGCTAAACTCTTGGTGATCTGACCTCAACAAATAACACTTCCAGTTACTAGTTCCTTGCCTGCCATGTATTTTGCAGCTGACATTTCCTCCTGATCTGAACAATGACTGTGTCATTTTCACACTGA